TAGTCAATTACCAAAATTTGGATGATTTTGAATATTCACTTGAAAAGTTATCAAAGAAAAACATTTTTCATTTTGTAACTTCGAGGGCCCGTAACTTGGTTACGAAGACGTTTAGGAAAAAAAGTTATATGAAGTACTGGTGATATTTTGACCCCATCTATACATTCCCAAGAGGAAAAGAGGAAGTCCAGGGACACCCTGTATATCATATTACATATGGATACCGTCTCTACTCAATACTGAAATTGAAATTTTTTCTCGATTTTTTCCTTTGTTCAGTAAAATATATTTTGAAATCAAATTCATAACTTGCCGGAAATCACCGTTGTATTCATAAACGCCCCCACATTTTATTCATATGGTCAAAGAATTATCATGATGGATATTTTTCTAAATCGTGATATCCTCTACCAGCATGAGTTGCGTCTGAAATTTTCCCATGAATTTGCCTAATAAACCACCATCTAAATTGCCGGTGTTCAGCGCAATTCCTGCACAAATATTATTACATGCCAGGGAACGAGAACACCTAAAGCACTCATGTTATTATCGCTATCGTCACCATAATAACGATCATGAATCAAAATATGTTGGTTAACAACTTCCTAGTAAATATATCATTTCTCATTGTCCCTGAAGATTTGTGATATCTGACTTTTAGCATGGTGTCAACTGGAATAGATTTACATGTATTAAAATCTCCGGATGTTGATATTATGACTGCAGAGTATTCAGTGAATAGTGAAATTCATTACAGAAAAGTTGCGGTATAAGACTGACTGCGATGACAATTTGCGATAAAAAGTGTTTTGGCAATGAGAAATAATTTCATTTCACGAAAGTATTCCAATTATCATATTATACTATCTAATTTGCAGTGTCAAGAACTTCTACAAGAAATATATTTTTTTGAGAAATACAACTGTCAGGTGAAACAATGTTAGAACTCAATAAAGATTCGAGTTTCAAATAATTTGAATTCAAGAGCTGATGTTAACACAAACAATTTTTAGATCGCCTTAAGGAATCTCCTGTAGTGCTTGTGTTTTGTCCATGAAAAAAATCTCATTCATACGTTTGAATTACTTACAAATTTGAAATGCTTTTGCGCAAATTCAATTCAACTCTCGTGAAATGCGTGAAATGGATCTATTGAAAACACTTTTCCAAGACCAGTACAAAAATTACGGTCTTTCGACAAAGACTCACCTAAATTCACTTCAATAAATGTTCAATGATGAAGTCTCTCCAAAAGTGAGTTTCTTATATTGCAATGTTTCTGGGGTAATTTCGTTGTAAGTAGTTCTTTTTCTATCAACGGAACTGAAATAACCTGCGGTACGCTTCAGATAAAACATTTTCCCTAAAAAAGTTCTAGGGGTGTCATATCAGGTGACCTACTCGGTTCTTCTGAAGGATTACGTATGCATATTTACCGATTTTGATAATTGATGAACCCAAATGAGTTCTCAACTGATGTAACATATCAAGGAGATGAGGTATCTCTTCGACAGGCTGATTCGAAAGTGATTGGACGATAATTATCAAAATCGATGGATAGGCAACTGTGTTCCCTTGGAATGACCCGCTATATTACGTGATATGATTCCTTCAGATTTTTTGTTAGAATTTGTGAAATATAAAGGGTATGTATACAACCTAAGAATTTTTCACAGTTCTTATCAGAATTAGAAATGCTCCTAATAAAAATACCCCAGAAAAATTCCATAATGTGACAATTGAATTTGAATGCAGACTTCATTATTGTCAGAAAGTGAATGAATATTGGAACGAACTGGGTAGAGTATTGATTTTGTTTTTCTAATTCATGATATATTTAATTTGTTTGTAGATGCTTGAAACGAAAATAAAACTGGAGAGAGTATCTATGTCCGCGCGGTATAAACAGATTCATATGTCGAAATTTTATTTTCAACGCGCTTTTATTAGCTTCACTTGTATGTTTGTTTGTAACGGACTCCTTTGGAATCGATTTTGACTAAATTTAAATGGGCAAATTTATTTTAAACTTTGTACATTCATCAAGAATCGGTGACAATATACTAATTTCATGAGTTTATCTCATTATTCTGATCAGGGCCATGTGAGCATGTGAGACAACTACACTGTCTGTTCTATGGATATTAAAACAAATGGACTCGAAATGTCAATCCAAACTGAAAAGTGAAATATAAACGATAGTTCGAAAAAATTAATAAACACGCTATATTAGCAACATGAACTAAAAAATTAAAAATAATCCTAAACTAATTTAAGATTGTGTTCAACATCAATGATGAGTCCTATGGCTTGATGTAACTATGACTTTCTATTTACAGAAAAATTAATTTCTTGTAAAACAGCGTGGGGTGCTAAACATTCAGCCATAATTCACAGCATCCTAACCTTTTTTTACTACAAAATGAATTGTTTGTAAATAGATTCATTCTGATTTCAGACTTATCAAAGGTAATTTTTTCATCAAGCCAAAGGACTCGTTATTGATGTTGAACACAATTTTAAAAAAGTTCCGAATTATTTTTAATTATTCGGTTTGTGTTGCGACTGAAGCCTGTTTTTTTTAGTTTGTCAAACTGTTATTTATTTACTGCCATTATAAAGTTCCGGAATTAAAACTTCATAACCGTCTGAATTGTACAAACTACAGCATGATTTTTCACTACTCTATGGTTTTGGACGAATTTTGGACTGAAATTATAACTATTAATGTTCCAATAAAACTTCTGAAAATGAATCATTCGTTTCATACTCAGTGATCCAAAATAATCTTCAACAATTTCAGAACAAGCTCCTGATTTTCATACGGAACTCCACACTTCTACTTACTGAAATAACAAATCTAAAGCTCTCAAGTGAAATAGACACGCCGTTTGCTCTAAATGTTTGCTCCTCCATTACTTGCTCGAATGCCCCGCTGGTGCATAGATTTACTAGTAGCGAAGGTTAATGGTTAATTTTGTTTCAGAATATCCTGGATAAGTTCAACCCGGGGGCCAGGCAAATGATCAACGCTGGCAAAGCCTACCTCAAAGCCTTGCACGGTGAGTTCTTCGTTTCATTCAATCTAAGCAGTCAATTAGTTTGTTTAATTAATCAGTTCACATTTTCTGAAGCGTACAGAGATCCCGGAATTCCTCTGTAGATTTATTTGAGAGTAGATCTCTGTTCTATGGATTGATTAGAAGCAGTGAGGTTTTATTCGTTCTATTCTTCTTAGTTTTCAGTTACGAGTGAACTTGAAAGGTTTTTGATATTAATTGGTGTTTGAGAAAAATAAACTGGTTATCATTTCCTCCCGGAAATATTGTTATCTTCCATGAAATTTTCGAGGTTTTTTATGTTATTCAAAAAATTACCCAAAATGAAAGATACGAGCAAGAATAGACATCTTCTTGCAGTTTCTTGAAAACTAAAAACTGCCGGAACTTTTATCAAATTTTTTTATCTTCATATCAGCTTTGAATATGGAAAGGTGAATTTACAGTTCAGAGTCGAAATCAGCTCATATTTCTGAAACAATAATTCGAATTCTTCATTATTAATTGTTCAAATTATTCGAGTCCCAAAATGGGAGCTGGTCATAAAGTTTGTGTACCTGAATAAAATCTCATAGAAAATATAAGATGTTCACGTAAATGATGGAATGGTGGTATATAAAAAGAGTGAGAATTGCTACATTTTCATGTAATTGAAATTTTCTCTTCTATGCTCTTCTATTCATAACGTTGTATAATTTTCATCATGATTGTTATTTCTTTTGATTTTTGTGAGTTTCAAAAAGCTTGCATCATATGGAAACCTTTTTTAGTATCCATTTGTCAGAAAATTTTAATTATGATAAAAATTGGTGCATTGCAGGAAACTCGGATTAGAGTCGAACGGTATATAGGGGAGAACAAAAAATAGAAATTTTAATAACGAGCAAACTACTATTTTCGACATTAACAAAACAGAAAAAATCCATTTTGTTATGGTTTAGTCAATCATTTCTTGTCATTGAATCATACTAATAGTTATTATGGACATGCATTCAAAGTGAAACAACAATTTTGCACCAAAAAGCTAGAGAAAATTCAAACCATTCTCAACAAACTTCGATATACTAGTTCGAACAATGAATTGGACTAAATTTCTAATTGATATAATATTATGGTAATATCAGGGAGGTTTATGAGATACTAGTACTCTATATGAGGCTAGAACCATAAACAAATTGAATTAATAAACTTTTTTGATATTATCTCCCCTGTACACCGTTCAGAAATTTAGAATTTTGTCAACTCAAATCAAAGTTTTCCGCAATGCACCAATTTTTATCAGGAATTGAGGTTTCTGAAAAATGGATAATAAAAAAGTTTCCCATATGATGCAAACTTATTGAAACCCACTGTATAATCGATGATTGGAGGACAGCCTGAATAGAAAATGCAGTTTCTGTGTAACTCGGTGTTCATATATATTTTTGTCATGGACAAAACACGAGCACTAACAGCACTACAGGCGCTCTAAGAGCGGTGCCTGTGCAAAAGTGGCGATTCCCATTGGATTTGAATCGCTGAAGATTAAATCCATTCACAAAAACGTTCCCAGGAAGTTTATTCCACATAAACGCAGTTCTCTAAATGAAAGAGTGTTCAAAGAGTGGAGTTCGAGGTGAATTGAGTTGAACCTCAAAACATTGACCAAAACAGTCCGTCGCGTATTTCTGATATGTGCCGCTCTCGGTGGAATCAAATGTGTCGATTCACTCGAACACTTCCCGTGAAAATATATATAGAAGAGAGACAAATCCTCAACCTTTCCTCGATGTTCCAGACTACCTAGGTTGCAAGTGATTTTTTCGTCTCCAATCAGACGAATACCTCCTTTTTGGATGGAATCCAGCAGCGTCAGGGTATCCCTAAATGAGAACGATATTCCAAAGATGGTTTCATCTGGGCCTCATAAAGCATCGAAAGTTGCTGGGGTGTGTATAGTTTTCCGATTCGTAACAGTGTTCCAAGCTTTCGAAAAGCAGCCTTTGTGATTCCAGCGACATGATTGTGCCACGATATATTGGTGTCCATTTTAACCCCCAACAAACTTATCGAAGCAGAAATCGGAATTGTCTGTCCTAACATTATTATATCAGGTCCGGAGAGATTTATCTTTTTGGAGAAAACCGATGCCTGAATTTTTGTGGCATTGAATTGAAATGGGTAATTTCACCCCAACTCTAAATTACTTCTAGATCCTCATTAAGATATGCAAACTCCTGCTGTCGGTGAAGATGTGCAAACGCAGCCGGTGTTCTGGAGTCCAATTGGAATGACGAGACGAGTGTGTTATCGTCAGCAAAACAAAATATTGGATACTTCGTTTTTTCCATCGAGTCGTTAATATACAACAAAAAAACGGTTGGAGACAATATGGATCCCTGAGGAACACCAGTATTGATGGTAAAAGTATTCGAGAGGAATCCATCGACGGTCACTTGCAGGAAACGTTCTTTCAGGAAGCCGAAGAGCCATACACAAAAATGATCGACAAGCCATATCATCGAAGTTTGGCCAGCAAACCCTCATGCCACACACGGTCAAAGGCCTTAGAAATATCAAGCGCAACAGCTTTTGTTTCTCCGTGCAACAGCTCCGTGTTTCTCGATTGCTTTATTTTATATAAAAGTAGTTATTTCGAAGGAATTTTTTCTGTCTTATGATACAGTGTTTTTGTGAAAGTAGTTGTTCCGATGGGGATTTTTATTCCAGTTTGTATCTGGAAGAAACTATGGTATATGATCTACACATCTTTGTTAGGTGTTCATTTTGAACTCGATCACTTTCTTCCTATCTAAGGAACCTTTCTAAGGAAGTTGCCACATTATTTCGGTATGAAACTAGAGGGGTAGAAAGCCATAGAGCTTTCTTCCCAAGAACTTATTTCTCCCAAAAAATATTTCCTCCTTTCAATTCGAAGGCAAATCATGTTTCTCAAACAAATCTAGATTTTAGATTCTAGATTCTATGAAGAGTGAACTGGAAAGTTACAGCGGAATATAAACCGTATATATGACCAATTAATTTGCGCTGATCTTTCGGCTAATCTTTCGAAAAAAAAATCTTTTTGAATGGTCCAATATGATCCTGCCGCTGAATGAAAGTGAAATATCTGCGAGATTAACATCTATGAGGTATCTTACATAAATGTCTGGAGGTTATAATTCAATATCCAGCATGATATCAGCTGATAAAGTACTTGTTTTCCAGCTGCGATTCACCAGAACCTGATGTGTAGGTAGTTGGGAGATTTCATTTCGAAATATTAATTTTTTACGTATGTATCTCTCCTTGATACAGTCTACAGACAACTTTTGGTCTCTGTTAGAGTATTGGTACATCTGATGATTTTTTCCGCTTAGGGTTTTGTTTATGAGATGGATCTGTTATTAGTTAATAATCATCCTCTTTGACGAAGCGAAGGTTTCATACAAGCAGTTTAGTTGCGTTGAAATTAATCAAGTCCTAGGCACTTTGCTGTATGGGTCGGATCTTTCCTTCGTTGATGAGAGGTTAACACCTCGTAACCGGTCTGTAGGTGATCTACTCGAATAATTAATTCCACCATGGTCTTGCTGCTGGATGAACGAGAAAAATCTGCGAGATGAACCTGTGAGGATACAATTGAATATCCAGCGTGGCATTAGCCAGGAAATTAGTTTTTTTTTTCCAGCAGGCATCAACCAGAACCTACTGTCTAGGTAGTTGGCGGAAATGAATATTTCGAGATTTTTTTTCGAAATATTTATGTTTTTATATTGAATTACCGGTTGGAAATATGTATATTCGATTTTCGAAACGTCTGTGATTTGGAAAAAGCTGAGTACATTAAGAAGATTTGACCATTTATTTAATTTTCAGACGAAATTATCAAATACTCACTAATCAGGCAACTTATATTTTACGAACAGTAGTTTCGCGTCGCATAATGTCACGCTAATCCATCAAAAAACTCCGTCGAAGTTCCGTTATGGAAAAAACGGAGACGAAAGTTCATTTTATGTGAAAACTCCACACTCGAGGAGGAGGAGGCGAGGTTGCTTCACAACCCTGATTTCAGCAAGTGATACATTTATATTTTTGACTTCATATGACGTCATAAATTAGACTATTCAAAGATTGTGACATCTTTCAGCAAAATCAAAAAATAAATTTCTCTTTCTGAATATTGCGTCAAAATATTGTGAATTAACATCTGTTTTTTAGTGATTTTTTGTCATTATCCATATTAATATTACTCAAAGAAGTCTTCGAATCAAAAACCCTTAAAAAATCCTCGCTATATTTCAATTCGACAACAACTTCAGCAAAATCCATTGAGTTTTCAGAAAAACTTCTATATATGTATCTTCTCTCGCAACTAGAAACTTTACTAATTTGGCTTCTTTCAGTAATAATATATGTTTTTTGAGAAATAGTTTTTGGACTTCTACTACTCCATTTCGATACAAAAAAAAGGATGAGGAAATCTTCCAAAGAAAGGAAGGAAGTAATCAATTTGCAAATGAGTAACTCTATACATGGATGTGTAGATCATGCAGAGAAGTAACTTTCAGACATAAACTGAAAGAAAATCCTCCTGAAACAGCTACTTTTATATAAACATTGAATTACACATGTTATCTCGATCACTCAAAACTTATCATTGTGTATAAAATTTTCATTACTTTCAATCCAAATCTTGCCAGATCCATTAAAATTTCTCCATTCCATTCGTATACGGGTGGAAAATTGTGAGATACATATCTCCGTATTTGCGCCAATAAGTTTATACGTTTTGGTCGTAGAGAAGAGTGGAAATAGAAAAAAGTGCCAAGTTCAGCGAGATACATCGTCTGGAAAGCTTCGTTTCCTGAAAACCAATTGTGTGAAATGCGACATGATATATAAGGCAAGGTTTTGTTCTGCGAAACAAAATTAGACGTGGATTATTTGGTTTTCTCTTGTTGATTCTAGATCCAAATTTAAATTCAAACAGACAAAGCCACTCGTCGGAATACAAAACAGTG